CATTCATTCCATCCGTTAAATTAACTGTTTGTTACTCGATTCATTAGGTAAACTACTAAACATTTAATGAATAAATCAATCTGTCAACTGGTCCATAGATATTAAACATACTTGTGAATATACACTATTGACATCCCAAGCGACCTCGCAACAGCGCATGCGTGTTGACCCCCTGCACCTCCAAAGCACGCTAACACGTGACGTGACGTATCATATCCTCTAGCCTGAGTCAGAGCTCTGATTGGTCGACACATGTTCTCGTTTGCAACTTTTACAAATCCCATTGCCACGTCTTCTACAGACATTGGCTCCTTCCCGTCTGCGGCGAGAAATTGGTTTATCTGTGAAATGAAGAGCACATATTTGGATTCAAAATACGATCGTCTCTTTAACCGGCAAAGAGAATACGTGATAGAATAAGGATCACTTACTTCTTCAGTAAGTATTTTAAAACTGTTGTAAGATGAGTCTTTGTCCAATGGTTGATCTTCATTTGGTCCAAAGATACGAGGAAAATATCTTAACACATAACACAAAACACAACACATAAATGCATTGTCATTCTAATTCTTGGAATAATGTAGATCAGTAGATACGTTTTACGTCACCCCATCGCAAAGCTTTCTCTAACTTAGAGCTTTCACTCATAGCTTTCTCCATAGACAATCCAGAAGACATGTCTTTTGGATTGTCTATGCTTTCTCTAACTTAGGTAACCAAGAAGTATATTTGCATTCAGTTTCATATCGCGGTCTGTGACGCGTGCATGCATGCGGCATAGACCGCAATTTTGATCTGGTCACAAATACTTTCGGCTACCCAAGTTTCTACTCGATTCAAGACTCACTGAGGAAGTAATCGAGCCAGCACCAGATTAGCGTCAGTCACAGCCAGATTTCCTCCTAGAAAAATACACATATAGTGGAATAGTTTTGACAAAAAAGGTCTTAACAAGGTCTGATTCCTAATTCCTAATGAAAGCAAGTCTGATGTTTTGCATGAAGATGCTTCGGGTTGGTTTAGTTTTGATCCCATTCCACACAGACCTTTCCGGTAACAAACAGGACCCGGATGCGCTCCGACGGACTCCGGACCAACGACGAATATTCCCGAACGGAAAAACAATCTCGAACCTCCGCCAGCGGCGACCGTGTTCACATCAAGCTGTGAAGAAGAGATTCAGTCATTGAATCGTACTCCAGTTATATGCGTCATAATATTTAGATCTCTCACCTGAGGGGCCTGGATCGTAATTCCAGCTGTCGTTGTCTCAAAAACATGTTCTAGGTGACCAGCGTAACGAGAAACATCAGTCGACGTGCCTGAAACGTCATATAGATGAATTCTTTAAAGGTACCGTAACAAGGTACGCACCTCAATGGATTACCCACCTCCCATATCAAATCCTATAACAGGTTGACCTGTTTCTTCACTGTACGTCGTTACGGCATAGCCTACCTTTGAGTAAAGAGAGTGGAGAGTTTCATCATCATGATCTGCTCATCTGCATTGCTTAATCACGATAAAAAACAAAAGATACCGCTCACCACTCCTCCTGCGGGACCAGAAAGAATTGCACGAGATCCTGTGAACCTTTTACACGAAATAAAGAGAAAATTATCTTTAGAGAAATAGATTTTCTTAATGAGAATTTAGGAAACATCTTAATACGGTCCGCTTCTTTAATAAGACTGAACTTACTTCTGAACGGGTGTAAGTCCACCATCTGATTGCATGAAAAGCACCCGCACATCCTATGAAGCATTACAAATAATTCATCATTACTGTGGCATTCTAATAGCCAGGGTACTTTTGATGGCTTCTATCTAGGCCAGAAAATCTTTAGAGCGGGAGGTATAGCTGCCTGTTACCCCTGTCAGTGTATTAAATCCTTTCATTCTTCTTTATATATTGCAAAGAGCTAAGCATTGGCAATATGGTGCCGTCGTAAAACCGATTCAAGAACTAGCTTTTTAATAATCAACACGTTGAAATACTTTACAAATACTGTCTATATACCTTTAGTTCATCTTGAAAGCCAGCAGTAAAGCCACTAACGTATCTTTTGATGCACGGTGTTAGGTAGGCATCAGCGCAAGCTATGAAGAAACCATTACAAAAATATTAGCACGAGGTATTTTCCTAAGATCAACATTTATTTGGCCTGTAAGTCTCGTCAAAGACAACTATCACCATGATTCTTTCCTTCACCTGTGTATCCCCGAGGAACCATCTTTATCATTGGCATAACCTCCGATGACAAGGAGACCTGTGTGAACCCGACTTCCTTTGCCAACTCACCAACTTCCTTTTCATGGTTGTAGTAACTAGAACCCAATATAAATACCCAATTAGCTCTGATAAAAACACCTTCAGCTAACATACATTGTTGCTGATGAACATATATACCTACATGTAGGAATGCATTAGAACAACTGCCAAGCTACGAATCCCCTTGTCAAATATTCTCTGTGGCAAGATAAGGATTAAAAGAATATACCTTTGATGAAGAAGACAAGTAGCCATAATCTTGTAACACAAGTTATGACTCATTCAATATGACTACCTTCAAATCTTCCTTTAATTTCTTGCGATCAACATTTTCCCAAACTTCAAGCTTAACAGAATGCAAAATACATTTATCCTTAAAGCTCTCATAACTGATAGTTAATATAAAGGGTGAACATAATCATGTTAATCATTCCTAGCAACCTACTTACTTTGACATCAGATTTACCAGACACAATCCCATGATGAGGATATGAAATCCCACAATCATCCTGTGCTAAAACCAGTCTCTCATTGACCTCAACAACTTCCTCATACAAGACTTCGGGTTTTTCGATTTTCTGTTTTACGAAAGCCCAAAAAAAAGTTCAGTCAACCAAATTATAAACACTAAAATTCACAGATGAAGATGAAAAGAATGACAACATGAATGTCACAGTCATCAGATAACAGATTGTTTCACACCAGATCAAATATCTTTGGTCTTGATTGGTTACCAATATACAAAAGATCTTTAAATCCTTTATTGATCACCAATGCCATTGGTTCGCCTTTTCTTTCTAACAATGCATTGGTTGCAACTGTTGTACCCATTCGAATCCATTTGATGTACGATGGATTGATGGGTTCGCTGGGAGGCATTCTGATTCCAGTTTCCTAAAGCAGATAAAGCAGATAATTAATATAACAACTACTGATTAATTTACAATAATGTAGAAGTAATTTGGAAACAATTATTGATATATCTGTCATTATCTATTGATTGATAGACCATCGGCCAATGAATAGTGATCAGTAAATCATTTGTTACACCCTATTGAGAAATGATTCATTATCATCTTCAATTGATGACATAATCTATAAACTTGTTTGATACAGATAATGATCTAATCAATTGATTATATCATATTGATATCAAATCAACAAGGTGAACCTAGTGTTAATGAGCTAAAGACTTTGTTTAAAGGTGGGTACTGTCCTATAAATGTAAACAAACACTTTGTTTGCATTTTGAATCCTATATTCCTTAAAATATCAAGAACTTTCAAAATATTTGACACGCCAGACTTCTAAATGAATATGAGAGAGAGAGCTAGAGTTTATGTCCAGAGATATACAAAACATTCAAAATTTGAGCAATTTTAAAACAAGTAGACTACTCATTGTTATGAGCAAAACCGGATTTCAAAAAACCCCAATTTTTTTCAAGTCATTTGCATTCGATCCCGGCACATGAAATGTTCGACCTCTGAAACGGACCTGAATTAGAATTACTGGCAAACTAATTATGGAATTGTGGAATGTTTATAATAGAAAACGAATTAATAACGCACAATATTAAATATAAAAATTATAACCTGCTCCAAAATACGGCGAATTCCCTCGCGAGGTGCATCGGGGTAATTTGCAGGATCTTCAGAGAGTAATTTCATTACTATGGATTTGCCAGTGGGTGTCTTGGCGAACACATCCGTGAATGTCCCACCTCGATCAATAGCGAAGGAAAAGCCTTTAAATAACTTGGTGTCCATTGCTTTGCGCATTTAACTGCATTGACCGGGCTGCAAGCTTGCAGTCTATGATTTAAAAGTAAAAACAGTGAACGGGTCACAAGATCATCACAAGTCACGTGCAAATACCAGCTTTTATATAAAGTTAATTTACCATTTCTTTGTTTGAAATTTAGAGTATAAAGCTGATGCAATTCCTTCGTTTTCAGACGTTTTGAGGGGTGAGATTTTTTACAAAGTCAAATATAATTAATCACATTTCCTGACCACAAGAATCCCAAAACTTCTTTTAGAAAGAGGGTTGTATATTCAGGCTTGCCAGATTACTGAATAATACTTGTTTCCTTTGTTTCAAAAAGAGAAATCAGAAATCATATGGTCAACTACAATGTTTAGATTATTTTTTCAGTAATCTGGCAACCCTGTTAATATAATATATGGAAGAGAATGCAGAACAGCAAACAACTTTAAAAAGCAATAATCCATTACCCTTTATATACAATTATACATATAATAAAGACTGTCAACAGTCTATGTGGTAACTAAATATGGTAACCTATTTATATATACATGTCTACTGTGGTACATATGGGTTATTATATCCAGCATTCATATGTGGTGGAATAGGGTACGGGTCATAGGATGGTGCCCCCTGCTGGTAGGGTGCCATGCCATGGGGCGATTGGCCCGAGAGTCCTTGATTTCCAATATAAGGTTGGTTTATTGGCTGCTGTGGATGGCCTTGTTGGGACGAATGCATCTGTACAGGGGGTCTGTTGTAACCCATTGCAACACCTTGCTGCATCATAAACTGTTGTCCTTGTTGCTGCAAACGAGTTGCATGCATGTTCGGCATGTAATTTTGCTGCTGTCCTGGTATTGACGGATTTGTGGCACCCATGCTTGGTGCTATCATTTGATTGGGTACATTACTTGGGTAACCTGTTGCAGTTGTTGTACTGTTATCCAACGCTGAAGGGCTCATACTAGCATTCCCACCTAAAAAATAATTTATCAACTGTAAAAGAAGTTTTCCTTTGCATTTGACATTGTGGCAAATATTGTGATGGATGTTTTGGTGTTTCTTACCATATTGGTTTTTGGCGTGTTACCAGTGCCATCAACTTGCACAGTGGTCATTGACTGTGGAGCCGTGTGCATGGTACTTGTCATTGGTGATCCAGCTGACGAGATAACTTGTGATGTCATGTTGGGTATCGCCGTTGAACCTTGATCCATAGATGTTCCTGGTAGTATCTTTCGGTCCTGTATATTGACAGGTACATTGCCACTTGGTACACCCATTGTACCCGAGACAGGTGTGGTACTAGGTACCCCAGTTGGTGTTGGAGCCTGGAAGAACAAAGACATTAGATGCTTACAAGTATATAGTTGAAATACGAGCAATTTAATACAAAAATAATACATAAAAAACATACAGGTGGAATCATAGCTTGAATATTCTGAGTTGAATCAGCCAGACTGGCCAAATACATGAGATTTTTGTGAAGAAGTTGTTGGTATCTAAATTTAAGTGAAAACAATGTCAAAATCTTAAACACCTTTTTATCAATATAACTTCATTTTCACAGTATATTTTTGTTTTGATTTCTGTTTCAACTTACTGAATACATTCAGCAGCTTTTCCCTTGTTTTGGTAATCCACTATAGCCTAATGTATCAATTTGAATTAATAGGTAATTATGTGGGGAATTACACTGATAATTAACTAATTAGAACAATCATTCAATTAAATTATAGTATGGCATTGAAACTTATTATAGCAGAAGCTAACAAATACTTGTAAATTTCACCTGAATAAGTTGGGCATTTTCATCAAGGAGCTGAAACAAAATCGTAGTCGTTACAAGTGAAAGAACTCTTACGTGAAAACACGTGTTTATAGTTTACATTTTGCTACAAGTAAGATTCCCAATATAAGCAATATTTGTATTAAATCAAATGTACACTTTACCTTTTGAACACTTTGAGGATTGCCTCTTATTCGATTCCCCCACGACATGTCTACTTTCCTAATTTATCGAAGGACTATTTCTTATACCAAAAGTATTTCATCTTCCGTTTCTTTTACATTCACATTTTTGAAAACGTAGTAATAATTGCTCACAACTTCATGTAATTCACACTATAGACATGTCTTTTAGAAAACTAGGGGGAGGAACTCGAAAGAATTCTAAAGATTATCAAGGAAGACCGAAGATGAACAGTTTTTGATAAAAATTTGTCCAAGAAACTAGCGAGCTTTTAAAGTAATAAATTAATACTATCAGCAGTAATGAATAATATTCTCTTTTGAGCTCTTCAATATTGGTTAAAACTGCATCTTTTTTAGATGAACTACCAGTTGCACCCCCCGGAAATTCCTAAATGAATTGTAGAAAAATAGAATACAAAATGGCGCACACTCAACGACATTCGGGCACGCCAATTTCTAAAAACAAACCAAAAATTGGCATGGGTTCCATCGTTTGCAAAGAGGCTGAAATACGGGGTGAAGTAGTGATCGGTTCAAAAACGGTTATTCACCCGAAGGCACGTATCTTGGCTTTGAATGGACCAATCAAAATCGGGGATGGTAATTTGATAGAGGAACAAACGTGTATTATAAACCAAGGTGACAATGGTGAAGGTGATTTGACTGTTATGGAGATAGGAAATAATAATTTCTTTGAAGTTGGTAGCCACTGCGAAGCAATCAAAGTTGGCAATAATAATATACTGGAGTGTAAGTCTAAAGTGGGTCAACAGGTTATTCTCGGCGATGGTTGTGTCATTGGTGCCTGCTGTGAATTGACGACGAATGAGACTTTACCGGACAATACAGTGGTGTTCGGCAAAGACTGTCAGAGAAGGGTGCAGTCTGAACGACCACTTGCACAAACATTGCAATTGGATTTTTTGACTAAAGTATTGCCTAATTACCATCATTTACAGAAGAGTTCAAGAAATTAGATATTAAGAGATTTTTAGGACAGATAGGACATTGTTGTAAAACATATTGCCAAACTATTTCATTATAATGACTAACAAAATGGAACAATGCAAAAACCATTGATATATTATAACTATGATGTTACTGCTAGAACAATAACCTGTATATTACAAGCATATTTAAAAATATTTAAAAATCATTTTTTTCTGCAGACTATTTCCTCTTGAGTGGCAAAATTAGTGATCACCAGGGGGGAGCGCCCATTGTGAGAGCAGACATGTAGGGGGGGGTGTCCATGGAAAATTTGTTGCTATGGCGCACGCGTTACGGTCTAGCGCTACATAAAAAATAAAAAAGTTTTTATTAAATTTCTGTGAATATTTGTATTAAATAATGTTGAAAAATGGCAGCGATTTCAGCAGTACAAGAGAACCACTCCGTTACATGGGAACATCAAGACCTTGCCCAGGTATAAATAGTTAAAGCCTAAAATTTATATTGCGAATCCGTCAACGTCAATCCGATCGAGTATCGTCTGTACCGACCGCTGGTATCGACATAATTTAATATTTTTTTGCCAGGTAAAAATAAAAGTACTTCGTGGTCATTTAGACAGTGTGAATTCCTGTCAGTTCTTTGAGAACGATAGCCGTGTATTATCGTCTTCAAATGATCAAACAGTTCGAATTTGGGTGAGCTTAACTATTCCTGTACTGACTGTACATAAACATCAAACATGTACATTGTAAAAATATACTTGTAGCACGAAAACAAACAAACTGTGTTTGTACTCAGGCAACAGAGTCAGGAAAGCAACTAAACACTTATGATGGACACACATCATTTGTGACAAACTGCCATGCAGATGACTGGAATAAGAGGTAACATGTTTGTTTTGGTTCCATCCTAATGTCCAAGGTATAATACATACATATCCAAAGCTAATTCAAATGCAATAGTACAAAATCTTTTACTTACAGACTAAGTTTTCCCATCAATAGCACATACAGAAACTGCTTTCTTTAATACAGAAAACATTCCTTGCTTCTTTGTAAAGAGAATATCTAAACCAAACAACACGACCACCATCTTCTTTTGCAATAGAATGGTGTCCGGAGGTTGGGACAAACAAATGCTTGTAAGAGACATTGCCACTGGACAAATCTTGGTAAATTTTATTTATTCTAATGCACATGTAAAAAAAAATAATTAGAGGCCAGGTTGCATAAACCTGGGGTCAAGTCAAGGCTGTAAAATAGGCTACAAGAGTAAATAAGTCTTGGTTTTTGTATTTTTTAGTGGCAGGCAAGTCATGAGGGAGTAATAACAAGTTGTAATTACTCAAATGATGGTAAATACATTGTAAGCGGTGGTGATATGGAATACTCTATTAGTATATGGGATGCTAAAGATGGTATACTCATTAAAAAGCTAAAATGTAAGTATACGTTTAAAAGAAAGGACCACTCTGAGTGTTAGGTTATCTCACCACGCTCAGAGGTTTCACGACCATCACTCAATTTGACAGATAATACGAACACCATCACAAGCTGCAAGTTCTCCCAAAGGCAGCACCGTGTAACTGTAACATCCATGGATAGAACAACCAGGGTGATTGATATGTGTATGTACCAGGATGAATATACAGCCAGTTTAACACTTAGGTACAGCCGATAAAATACTTGTAATTAATACACTTGGCAGTCCTGTTGTTAAGAGTTTTTAAATGCAACCAGACTGGCTGTTACTTTCTGCAGAGGACATGGAAATGTGATATCTGATGCATCGTTTTCCAATGATGAAAGAATACTGGCAACAGCTTCATGGGACAAAAATATTCAGCTATGGGATGTCTCATCAGGAACATACAGGTGTAGTAGTCATTGTACTGACACTAAGACTAGCAAATACTTGCACAAACAAAAAAATAGAGAATATAGATCATCATCCAATGAAAAGGATATATTAGGTATTTTCTTCCTGTCATTTTAGAAAGACAGGGCCAGTCACACTCAAAAAAGGTCATGAGGGTTCGGTCAGTTCTTGCAGTTTCAGTACAGATGGTATGTCATTAGCAAGTGCATTTTAAAATAGGGTCAAAAATTGCTCATAAGTATCAGTTGTACTTTTTTATTGCAGACATGATGTTAGTATCATCGTCATTCGATCAAAACCTTGTTGTTTGGGATGTCCCAAATTCTGTGCAAAAATTCTCACTTAAAGTAGGTCATAATCTTTCCTACTAAAACACTTCAGTGGTGCATCATTATAATTCGTATGTGGTACGTGGCAGAGAAGTTAAACTTGAAAATGTTTCTACGTATATCCTAGGGCCACAATGGTTGGGTTAATGATGCTTCATTCAGTAAAGATCAAAGATGGGTTCTTTCATGTTCACAGGTTGGTCATACAATGAAACTATTTTTCTTCACAATTAAAATACTGTTTTTGCATAAATATACATGTTAAATCACATTTTTTCAATTAAAGCTGCATGTTCATTCTTAATTATTGTGGATTTCATGCTTTGATCGTAGGATAAAACTATCCGACTATGGAACATTGAAAACCTTGATGATCTGCCAGTTGTTTTAGAGCACAAGAAAAACATTGGACTAAGAATAATTGAGGTATTTCAAGTACAGTTTTTTAATTACATAAAGCCATCCCTTTTATTGACTTAAAACAATAATTTTGTTGCCAGTTTTTACCAAACTCAGTAAGATTGTTTTCCATTCACCTGGATGCTTTAACCTGAATCTGCATTTTTATTTCAGTGTCAAAAATGCAAAAAGCAATTTTCCATCACTCAAGTTGATAATGCTGAGAGGAAGAAACTTTGTGTGTTTTGCAGACTTGATACTCGTACACTACCATGAGCTCAAGAGCACACTGGAATGTCATGGATATTTGTATCATCTTATCTTGCATACTATCCGCATGACATACCCAGACCTAGATACCATTTGCAATCATTGAAACAGGCTTAACTTTGATTACCAGAGCCAAGTATGGTATCCTTTCGTGCATATCTGTTTACCTCAATATCAATCATACCAGCTTCATCTGCCAATGTGGGCATTTTCCACCATTGGAGAGCCATTCTTTTTTGTTCTTGAAAATCATTTTGGTGGAGAGGAGAAAAATGATTTGATTGTTTGTGCACAAGCATCACCAACCACTCTTGATATGTCCTGGAAAAACATTTCATTTCTCAATACTAAATTTATACCAAATATATTTTTTTTTTTAATAAAACAATTTATTTAAGACAGACACAGTGACATATTTTGTGCAACATGTCTTTTCTATGTAGACCTAGCTTTACCTGTTTTGAGGCTCCACCCAATTCTTTCAAACCTAAAAATCAACATTACAATTCAAATTTAACAAATTATTGTTACATAGAAGCATGCAAACATTGACTGAAAACATACTTGAGAATCTTTGCAGCAAAGCTAGGGCTTTCTTTTCTCCCAAGCCAGGAACAGTTTGTAGTGTATCTAAAAGTGTCTGGTCTATTGGTTTTTGAGATTTCTTGATCAAAAATGGATTGCTTCTTGCATCACCAATCACATTCACCTTCAAAAGATAATTAGGTATATATTCTACTTTCTATTTCTGTCTAATTGTGGGCAAGACTTGTTTAAACCAGTTGAGTTCCTCCTAATATTTATTAACAATGTCAATTTACCATTTGTATGAGGAATTTGGCAACCTCTTCCTGTGAGCTGACAGGGTAGAGATTAATACCCATGTTGATGGCTGTGAATTTCTGAAGTTGTTCAACATACTGGTCAGTCATTGCTGTTTTCTCATAAAGCACAAGTGCACGGGTAGTCTGCACCTAACATTGCAAAGAGGCAGTGAACCTCTGGTATGAATGGTATTGATATTTTCAATCAATCTGGTTCCAAAAATCAATGAAGAGTTAACTAAGTTCCCTAACCTTGGCCAACTTTATGATTCTCTGCTTGTAAGTAGTTCCTGTTATCAATTCTGACTCATTCAGGAATAAAACACCAACATCGACTGATGGTCGGAAATCCATAAACCCAAGATTTTCAAACACCACATTGACACTCCCTATAACAAAGAAGTTTACGATCAATAAAAGACCATAGCTCTGTAATCCCAGCACTACAGTGTTCAAATACTTAACAGAATAATAACTACTACCACCAGTCCACCACCAGTTTACAATTACTAGTTTACACCTTACAGATACCAACCAAACTAACCTTGTAAAACCTTGACAAGGAGTGATCCTTGATATTTCTCATTGACCAACACATGTCCAGGCAGGATGCGAACAGAACCAGCAGCTTTTTGCGATGAAGTCAATTTTTTAACTTCTGTTCTGTTCAATTTACCCGCCATCAATGGTGTTTATAACTTCGTCATGATATCGGAACAACTTCGGATTTTCTCGGCAAACCTTAACAAAATTGAAATTATTTTTTTATTCTTTATTTTCCTTTTTAAGACTTGCCCTTTTTTATTTATATCTTACTGTTGTAAGTTCTCTTAAATAGATTTAGTAGATTATATCAGAATTCGATGTGTTTTTTAAAACTTTTTAATTACTGTAACATTTTCCCGCGAGAAAACGTGAAGCCACTTCATTTTTTTCACTTGAAGTATTGGCATCTTCTCAGAGATTTTTCAGTATTTTTTATATTTATATTTAATATATTATCTTAACGAACATATCGGAACTTTTATAGTTTTTATAAGTACACGATACAAAAAAGGAGTATCTAAAGAACTTCTTCTACGCAGCAACTTCAAAAAACGGAATATTTATTCATATTTATGGCTGGGCAAGCATTCCCCACTGATGGTTACACAGGCTATTTCTATGGTAATACTGCAAATTCATATGGTGGTGTCTATAATCATGGAGCATATCAAAGCCAAGGAACTTATGAAGAACGTAGCTGTTGGCGCAAACTTTATGACTATCAATCTGGTTATTGGTATTACCAAAACTTATTGACCAATAACACACAATGGGAACAACCGGAAGGGTGGGACTCTTGGCCAATTAACGGGGAGGTGGTCCAGAAGCAAACAAATGATTATGTTGATGGTGAAAAATCAGGGTTTTCTTTCTTTCGGCAAACTTCAGAGGAGATTGAAGCAATGAATGTGGAATATGTGAAGAGAAAAGCAAGACAACAAATTGATCCTGAGAAAGCAAAGAAAATACACTGGAGACCTGAAGGAGCGAACGAGTACAACATATGGTACGATAAGTGGATTGGGGATCATTGGAAGGGAATGAGGGATGAAGGTGGGTGGATCAAAAGTTCTTTGGTTGTTTTAAGAAATGAAATAAGATAAAATATAGATTTTGATAGTTGTTTCTTTCTAGGTCCAGCAGAGACAAGATGCTGTGTTAAGAAAGATGCCGGCCACACCAAGGCAGTACTTCTTGATCCGAAACGAAAAAAGACATATTTTTGTATCTATTTTGCAAGAGGGTGTTGCCAACATGGTAGTGAATGTGGCTACTACCATCTGGTCCCATCAGATAAAGATGCAAAAAGGTACTATGGCATGAACATTAAAGACAAAATTCCCCTACAAAATTCCTAATAATAATCTAATGTTTCAATCACAACAGGATAGATATGGTGCATGATATATTTGGCAGAGAGAAGCACAAGTTACATAGTGACAATATGGGTGGTGTCGGATCATTTGAGAAGGATTGCCGAACATTGTATGTTGGTCGCTTAGGCAGTCACAGGGAATTGGAAAGTCTTTTATGGAAAGAGTTTGGGGAATGGGGTGAAATAGAGGTATCATAAGGAAAAACATCCACACTTTTGTTTCAAACTAATCGGCCAATTTTTCAGGCTAAACCAAACTGAATGCCTAAATATTTAATATTTTATATAAAATGGTAAATTATGTACCTTTTTGTCAATTATGACCAGTGATCCCTACAGAGCTTATTGCTTTTACTGGATGTAGTCAATATTTATGCATTCTGATTAGTCTAAGATGAAATTCCTTCTTGTTCTATAGTTACTATAGTACAGTTAATAATAGAGATCTTATTTCTATTGCACAATCCTTATAGGATATCAGAGTAATAACAAAGCGTCAAATTGCATTTGTGAGATACAAGAACAGAGTAAATTGTGAATTTGCTAAGGTACTGTCCAAACATTATCAAACTCTTCATGTCTTGATAATTTGAAATGTACTGAATTTTTTTAAATATTTCACATTAAGATAGCAATGTCTGATCAAAAACTAGATGGTCAGGAAGTTCTAAACATAAGATGGGCCTATGATGATCCAAACCCCAGAGCTCGGAAACAGGTTAGTCCACCTAATTTTAGAGATCAGTTTTTTGTAATGTCAACTATACATGTCACCATGGTTACCATTATGTGGACACAATGATCCTAATCTGAATGTGTGAAAACAGGTGAATAAATCACAAAATAAACTTTGTCATTCCAAGACACCATACATGGTTGCATTGCAACTGCCCTATTGACATTTGGTATTGATCAATTCTGTTGGTAGGTTATATAGTTTACTTTAGTTCACCTCACTCTGAGTCTTTAAAAAGTTTTCAGTATATTTCTTTCTAACAACCTAGAGTTCTCTAAGTTTATCAGGTTTTTCTGACACTAGAAAAACGCACAACCTTTGCACCCAAATCTTCTGTGTCCGCAATTTCATACCACCCAAGCCAGGTGTGGTTACCCAATGTTAGAATTACAGTTAATACTATCCTTGATTGACCGCAGAAAACCGAAGACGATAGAGACGCAGTACGCGCGGCGATCTATGAAAAACTGGATGATGAAGAGCCTCAACCAAAACGTCTTCGTAGTGAAGGGATTATAGGCAGTTACCCAAACACGGACGATCAGTATCCTGATTCTGCTGGACCTCAAACCAAGGAACAATATGAACAAGTAGGTACTACTGTAGTACATAAACGCATCCCTCCTGTTTTACGTTCCTATTATCCCCTCCAATCCCTCGCCCCTCGTCGAGTACTGTTCTATAGTAGCGCTATGATTCACCAAAGCACTAATGACTATAGTCTACAGATAGTTTTCCTCTGTGTAACAGCGACAACATTCATTTTAGGAGCAAATATTACAGCAAGTTAAAGTGGATTGCAGCAGACTAGACGAGGCGTTCAAAAGAGTTGAATCAAGCAGTTACAATTAACTGTTATAATTCTGTGTGATGCAAATTCTCATTTTGGATTGCACGGCTCTAGAGCGTCCTGGTCACTTCTCTAGAGGCTTCTCTAGTGAACGCAAATTATGCGAATTAGTAACCTACTCGCCCATATGGAAGTGCTTTACCTCAGGCAGTCAAGTTTTACCATACGAAAGACAAAGTAGAAATGCTGTTGTTACGTCTTACTTGTAAAATTCTCAACTTGCAATACAATGCTGGTTAAACATGGTTTCAATGAGACGGTTCATTCTCCCGAGACTACTTTAAAGTTACGACTTTGAAAAAAACTTCAAAATTATAATGCGCGGCTTTTGTTAATAGAAGAATGACAATATAATCACACATCATCATAACTTTGATAAAAACTTTAAAATACAATTAATAAAATATCAGCAACGATAGCGATAACAATTCTCTGAGTCATGCCAATAAAGAAATTCGACCTTAATTATCCTTTGTTACCACTTCAAAATAGACCAGACCGTAAATTTCAAGCATAACCGAGTTTCAATATTCTGTGTACAATTGTTCTTCGATATGTTTTCTTCGAAAAGGTTTAATATCTTTCCATAACTACCAACTGAAACATCGGTGTTTAATATCTGGCTTGTGGAGGGTAACTATTGGGATAGCTAGCACGATATCCACCACGCATGTTCATTTGTCCAGTAGGAGGGTATCTTGGGTAACCAGCACTCCCAGTGGGTGGAGGTGGTCTGGGAGCTGGTCCACGTTGTTGAGCGGGCCTGGGTGTTGGGCTACGGTATTGAGCCTGTGACTGTACAGCGGATGATGGATACCCAGAGTACGGAGAAGTGGAGGTTGCCCCCTGAGCGGGGGTAGTACGGGCTGGGGTGGCACTCTGAGAAGTGCCAGCACGCAAGTTCGATAAAACCAAACTAATGGCGTTGCTTGTTTGTGATGACGAGGCAGGCGCACTGTGAGCCTTGAATGCGGTGGAAGCAGTGTGTGATGGAGTCAAAACTGGTATCGACGGTTTGGAAACAGACTCTGTCTTGTTTGTAGACACCTTTGTCTCTGTGGTAAGCTTTGAGGTCGGATTGAGGATGCTCAATATTTTTGCCTGCAGTTCAGCCTGCTGTAAGGCAATCGATTGTGGATCATTGTTGTAGGGTTGATACGCCGGACCTGGAGATAAAAATGTTCAATTTTTTAGCAAGTTTAATACATTTGGTAAACGTGAAACCATTACTGGTTCATATTATTCAGTATATTCATTTACTAACACTAAGCTTATTACAAATAGATACAAAATGCTAAGATTTGTCTTGTGAACTTATTCGCCTTCAAAACACATTTGAAACTGGTGTTTTCTATCGTTCAAATAAATCTATAGTATATGAAATGTAAGTGGAATAATTTCATAGCATCTTTACATCTGGTTTAGGGCAACTCTTCCATGAATGCCATCTTTAGAAAGAAAGGCAAAAAATCATACCTGGTTGTTTTTACTTACGAAATACTGCGTAACCAAAAGACTCCAAAACTCCACTTAACCATTCATCGATGGTCTAATATCAATGAATGTCCTAGGCTTGATTTTAATGCCAAGGTGGTGTTATCCCATTTTCTCGAAAATTACACGACTTATGATATTTACAATAATACTTTTAAAAGCTCGTGAAAAATTACTTCTCTTTGAAATATTCATAGAAATTTCACACACAGTACACCCTCCAGTTCAAATATCAATAACTAGCAAAAATGATGCATTTTGTATTGACAAAATGAAATCAAATGGACTTTCTATACAGTAACTGGAACCATCACTCGATTCAATGTTAAAATCGATGATCACTGACCACACGAATTGGCAGGAAGAAGTTAGAGCTTTGGGCCCTACCTTACTTACACTGGGGTACCCAGTACCTACCTGTGGACGAGGGTGGTACTCTTCCTTCTTTTTTAAGCAAATCGTTTCGAAGCTTGGTAAACTCGTCTATGACCAAAGAATACTCGTCTACGGTTAGCGGTCTCCCGTCCGCCGCGATGTTTAAAAGAGTGCTAACCTCACGACTATACGGCGAGGGTACGATTGAAGATACAGCACCGGGCGTACCGGCGTAGCCCTTCTTCGGTGCGAGGGGGTCGCCGCCGCCAACAGGGGGCGGCCCCCTTTCCCGGATTTGCTCACGATCTTGAAGAGCTTGCATATACGTGTCAAAATTACGACTGACAAGAAGTATTGCATCTGCTAAAGGCATATTCCTGTGTTCTGCAGAAAAATTGAAGCAAAATTTATTAGCATTGTTCGAGTGGATTAAACAGCGCAGAGGATGTTACATTATATCGCACAGTATCATCATAATGGGCTTGTACATGTACATCAAATTGCTTGCAACTTAGCTTCAGTAGTTATCTTTACAATAACAATCTAAATAGCTTGACTGACAAAACTCACAAAAGATATTTTCCTGGTGAAGAAGGGATATTTACAACACTAACGTTTCACAAGACTGGGAAACTATTCGGACCAGTTAAAAACATCACTTCATTGAAAAAATTCTGTCTTGTGTTCCCAAGTTTAGATGCTGTGATTACCTTTGGATACATTTAAGCCGAGGTCTTCCTGATGGGCAAAGGATGATCGCTTATTCCGGATCAATTATTTACTCAAAATCTTCCAAGAAAAGATCCAAACAGATGATTCAAAAAGTTTAAAAACTGTGGAGGGTGAGCATTTTTTAAAAAAATCCAAAAAATAGGCTTCGCTGCACAAGGACATACGCTGTGAGACAGAAAACTACTTGATCATCAAAATAGTAAAACAAAAAAATCCATATGAGTTGTGTTAAAAAGATATAGCTTTAAAAAAACAGTCAAAAATGGAAACAAAATATGTCACACAAAAAAACTTTCCAACACGCTTGTTTAATCAAAATGTTTCATCCAAAAAAAGTTGAAAAAAAAGTTGAAAACAAAGGCTGAAAGTCTTTAAGTCTTGTTCCCTCTTATAATAATTTCAAAAAAACCACGAAAAGTTCCCAACTTCAAATCCAAAAAAAAGGAAATACTTCGCCAAAAAGCCAACCCGGTTGGAATATGATTTGAGTGCAAAGCACTAAAAATTCTTGCAAAACAACTCTGAGGATTAAAGACGATTAAAGGGTATATCCCACTGATGCTGACATTAATAATGTTAAATTTTTAACTAGATATTTTAGTTTAAAATATCTCAATTCTTTTTTTTCTGCGTTGCATCTCGTTTTATTAAACATTACAGGATGTTCGTATATTGCAATTTGTGCTTCATTTACTCTTTCAAACACAACACTGGACCACATTATACTAACAAGATTACAACACTTACCTTGTTGTGTTCCATGCAAGATGTGAACAGTTACAGAGCGATGTACTTCGTGTTGGCTGCTGATAATGATTCCAAACAAGACTCCCCGCTTGGATGCATCCTCCAGTTCATCCAACAAGGGCACAGTCTCGGGGAGGTGGGCACATTCCACAACCAAACCATAGGATTTTAATTTCTTCTCCACAGATTCCGCATACGCCCTGGAAATAAATAGATATGCTAAAATTCTAATCCTACGGCAGTCATTTCCAGCTAGTAACAGCTAGTTGTGTTGTGTTATTTTCATTCATGTCAGGCAGATGACTGACAGCTTGCCATAGTTTTATGCAAACTGTTAATGAATCTCCTGTTTTATTTTGCACTTAGGTGAAAGTCTGTAAGCTACACACAGAACGCTTACAAACGGCAAAACAAGTGCATGGAAACTCCTGTTCCCCTGGTTAAGAGTCAGACTCCAAAGCAGAGCTACTGAAATTGGATTATTGTAATCCAAAATTGGATTATTGTAATCCAAAATTGGATTATTGTAACCCAATTATTGCAACAAGATATTCATGCAAGGTTTAAAATCAAGGAGATTTGCAATGTAACCATTAATTAGCCTCAAATTTCAAATCAACATCAATAATATCTCAATTCATGATTCACATTAGCAGGCCACAGCTGATTTTGAATGTGAAAAAGATAAGAATAAAATGTGAAACTTGTTAATTGAGAAAACAACTACACAACTCTTACATTTGTTGTTTGTTGATGATAATGATCTCACAGTCTATTGGCGCTTCAACAGGTTTACCAGCCGGTGGGGCATATGGATCACGAGGTAGTGGGACAAAGTCATAATCTGGTCGTAACTTCTTCGCTGGAACCTCATCATGAGGCCGCCCATATGAGGAGCTTGCAGGTCTGTCTGAGGAATCTGAATGTTCATCCCTGTAGCGATCTCTGGCTTCTCTGTAGCCGGGAATAGCAAATGGATCATCGCCATATCTTCTGCCTGCTTTGGGTGATGGAGAGCGGTCTCTAATGAAAGAAAGAGAAGTTGTTGCAACAAAGTTCAAAAGTTGAATTGCAGCAGGGAACCTGTTTTAATGATACATGACTTTGGGACATAGATTGTTAAGAAGACGACTGACAGCTTGTCATGGTAGTAGACAAACTATTAATAATTCTTCTTGTTTCTCTAGCACATGAGTGAAAGTCTATAAGCTTGACACAAAGAGCTTACAAACGGCAAAACATGTGCATAAATAACATCTAAGATATTACAAATGACTATAAATTTTGAAACAAAACTGCAAGCATTTTTCATGGGAGGTTAATGAAAGATATATTGCATTACCGTGGCCTACCACCAGGATAACCCCTCCCTCTTCCACCACCACCTAAGATTGGTGGACGCCTCTCTTTTCGTCTGTCGCCCGCCAAATTCACATCTAATAATAAAAAACATTTTTCTCACGTCATAGATAGATAATGCACAATCCCAGCAAATTTAAACCGTACTGCAAAACATTTGCAAAATAAATCCTTGAACCACATACCAACTTTTTTATCCTTGATAATGGAGCCATGCTCCTTTGCAACAGCAGCATCAGCACTGGCTTCTTTTTCATACTGGACAAAACCATATCCATTATGGACAGAACAACCAATGACACGTCCATGTTTAGCAAAGATATCTTCAAATTCCTGCCGGGAGAGATCCTCGGTTGCAAGGTTTCCCACAAATACTCGGCAACGGATAGACTTAGTGTCATTGCGGTTCGTGTCATTAGGACGAGTGGTAACACGAAAATCACGATCTTTCCTATCCTCGCGGTCCTTTCTATCCTCACGGTCCTTTCTATCCTCACGGTCCTTTCTATCCTCTCGTCTTTCCGAACTCATGTTTGCTGGTTGTACATGTAATCAAATACCTAGCACAGCAAATATAGTCACACTCAAATGTCATTCATATTAATATATTATTCACACAAAATTCAAACACAAAACACTCTGGTTTGAATTCTTGATGAAAACAATGAAAAATCGAATTGGGACTATTTGGTTTATAAACAACCACCCCAAGTTCCATCCTTATTATATTTTCAGTTAGACTACATTTTTATTGAGCTAATACTGCTCTTTATTTCTAAAACAATGACATAAATTCTGCCAAATATCTTTACAAGATATTCTGTCAATTATCTTTACAAATTTCACGCCTTTGTATGTAGGATAAGGTCAGACACGTGTTGACAAAATTCTTTCTGTAGATTTTTCACAAAATTGTGTGTTTCTATTCTTACCCTTTCCTACGTTTCTCGATTTCTTCGTAAAGGAAAAGATTCTCCCCTCGCGGACGAAACTGCCCAATAAAATAATGAAAAATTGTACGAAATACAATTCAAATCCGAACGTATATTTGATCAAGTAATCATGATATTCAAGATTGATTCAAGAATCAAGATGGCGACACGTGAGGGATATCTGTTTCACTGCGGGATACCGCAGGAACTTTGTTGTCAATCCGGGGCATAATTTGCGGGGAATATGCTAATCATTAAGAAGTTTTTTACAACCTTTTACACTCAAAATATATTTTTCCTTATTATATATAATCATAAAATTCATCCCCTGAAATTTCATAGTAAAAACATGTTATCATTAATTTGATTCAGCTGATAAACTCTTGTTATTAATACATTGCTCTAAAATTTTATATCTCTTTGCCATTACATCATACAAATCTTTATTTTCGACTCTTGGTGTTACAGCCAAATCATATTGCTCATTTTTAGGAAAAATTTCATCATATTTCACATCAGTTGTCCCAGACCAGCCATGTTTTGCACGATATGCACAGCCAAGGCATGCTGAGTTAGCTGTCCCAGGAATTGTGAAGACCGGGGCATGAAATATATCTGACAAAACTTGAAGGATGGCTTGGTTCTGTGAAGCACCTCCAGTTGCCAAAATACGAGAGTCTTTATCTGTATCACGAAAGACAATTTCATTCATTAAAAAATAAAGAACACTGAGGAACAAAGCTTCAGATCAATAGTTTTAAAAATATATGCCACTCACCCACTGTAAGACCTAAATCCTCTGCATGAACACGTTTAGCCAAAAACTGACCTTCTACCAGTGCCCTTATCTCCTCATCATTAGTAAAGGATTGAACCTCAACGTCATTCTTATCAAACCTGTATACACCTTGTGCAAAAGGTGTTATTTCAGTTTCATGAAAATATATTCCAATATTGCCACTATTTCCAGGAGGACTCCTGCTAAGACTTTGCCCAAAGATTTCCCAAGAACCATCTGAGCACTGATCCCGAACAGATTCACGTACAAGAGATCCATTCTTGAAGCATAGAAGAGCCATGTAAGCATTTTCTAAAATGAAAAGAAAAAACATTTGTGCAAAAACATATATATACCTAGAAATTTTTGTCTAGAAACAACTGTTTTGAACCAACTTACTATCAACTGGATTTACAAAGATATGCCCTTTCACAGCTGGTTTTGGAGTATTGAGCCAAAGCATTAGTGTATCGCTTGTGCCAAGACTTATACAGATATCAGTTTTTTGCAATCGAACACCAGCTAACGAGGCAGGATTATCACCGGTGAATGCAACAATTTCACAGGATTTATGAAAGCCGTATCTTGAACAGAGGTATTTAGAGATTTCACCAATTCCTTGCGATGATGGAACAAGGTCTCCTAATTTCTCTTCTAAATTTGGGGCACATGCCTTGGGGATAGATAGGAATATCATAAGATATTAGAGAAGAATTTGGGACACTGGATTTTAGCTGCAGATGGTGAAACTGCCATATATTGTACCATACCTGAAGACAGACTGATTCCCAAGTTTTGGTATGTATATTCATGAGGTTCATTCCTGACCCATCACTGTAATCAATTGGTGCATAATCACCAAGAAACAGGGATGCTAAGAAACTGCTGACTAGTGATATATGCTCACATTCATCGTATGAAGCTGGCTTAGTTTGATGGATCTTTGCAATTTGATTTCCAGTGAATCTTTCATAAGCACAAGATCCTGTGATTTCTGCGAGTGCCTGAGCCCCGCCCACTGCTTGCTCTAGAGCACGGCATTGAGCTGTTGTGCTTGAATCCATCCATATGGGAGAGTTGTCAATTGCAAATGATTCCTTTGAAAATATACAAATCTATGAATTATGATGAAATTGACATTGAGGCATTTCTTCTCTGTTATCTTAACCTTACTTGGAAAATAATGCTTTGCAGTTATCCCAGACTTGAATGCAAGTCAGGAATAGCTTATCGCAGTAATTGGGTATTGTGAAGAAGACTTATTTTGACCATTGACTACCTTTAGCTGCTCATAGAGACCCTTGCTAGGGTCTAGGTTATTCAAACGTGTTTTTGTTCCAGTTTTCCAATACACGCTACCATGTTGTTGTCCAGTACCAGAGATACACGCAACGTCTACAAAAGGAAATCCTTTGCTTTTCATTCTCTCCATCAGCAAGTCCAAAGCCTTCACCCACATCAGAGTGGGAGCTGTGACAGTCAGTGAGTCTGCATGTCTTTGGACACCATCCTGTGTCTTGAACTCTGGAAGGTCTCGGTCAAAATTTACGACTTCTTCAGCGATAATGCATAATTCCTTGTCAACAGCGATAAGTTTGAGCTGCTGGGTACTTAAATCAAGGCCTAAAAATGTGTTTGGTTTGTTAGAAACCATTTCTTCTACTTACCAGTTACCACTGTTTACCTTCATCTATATTCAACAGTTACTCCAAGTATTTCGCAAATGCTTTGGGTCTCACTGGCTCAAGTCGTCATAAATTCATTGTGTATTGTTTATAATTATTGTTTATTGTTTATTATTAGGAATTTTGCAATGATAAGAGATATTTTAAATCAATCTCCTATGCCTACATCTATATATGCCTGCATTTTTTCAAATTTTTCATCACCCTTTGCATATTGTTTTTGTATTTAGTAAATATTATATAATAAAGTGAATAAATTGTAATAATTTAATATTATTATATAATTTATGATAAATAATTTGATGTTCGTGTTCGCTGGCAAAAGAAGAATGTTTACCACTTTACCTTGTCATCCTCTGAGGTTTCATTTTTATTTTGTACAATAAAACATTAAATGGAAAAAGAAAAACGAATACAAGATTGGGGAATTCCGGAGGATCTAGTTAGAAAAACGTTTAGTAAGTTGGATTGGGAAAATGCTAGTTAACCATCGCTGCAAACGAATCGACACATGGGTTGTTGCAGAAGTAAACATGATTGCAATGAGACAGCGATTGAGATAGGAAATTCATTGAAAACATCCAGAACTTCCAGCAAAGAAAGCAGAAATGTTGTAAAATTTGACGAAGAAGATATACGTCAACCTACAGTCAGCGAGTGGCCTCCAAACGACCATGAAAACAGGTCAAATGTACAGAATTTGGTCTTGGATGTACTCGACGTTGTTCGTAAACTCACCGAGAGGTTTGTTTGGCTAAGACGAATGATCGCTGTTAAATCGTATATCAACAAAAATTGCTTTGTTTAAATCGGAAACACTAATGACTTCCATTCCTTTTGTATCAATATGTAGATAAACATGGTGTTGATATATGTAACTATAGTAAATTCCAATTCCTTCTTCCCAATATCTACTGATAGCGTCTGCACACAGGAAGTGATTACAGCGGATCTTGTGCACAGGCTGGTTTAGATGCTGTGATTTTTTTCAGCCTAACCTTGATGCAAACAAGCGAAATCTAGACTATACCCAATGTGATGGCATTAGTATCCGTACAAAAAAAAAACAATATTTCATAGAAAAAGCAGAATGGCCAATTTCTGATCTAGGACAAGCAAAGTGGTAGCTCTGCACTGATCTACATTACCTCCCTCAGAAAAACATATTCATACAATTAAACCCAGTGTGTGATATACCCAGTTTGCCTGCACAACTAAAAATTATTACCTGTACTAAGTTGACCGAAACAAAGACTTAAAACGGATAAAATTGTATTTGTAGTTTTCTAAAGTGTTTTTGAATACATATATTTAGTATAGAAGAGCCTCCACCATGTTTAAGGAAGCTTCACGAAATTGCAGAGAAAGGTAGGCAGGAATATGTTGGAACATAGTTCAAATCTACTGCAAATCTTCAGAGAAATACTAAAGGAAAGATTTTTGAATTCAGAAAGTGGATGGCTCGACATGGTGATGGCCTGTGTTAAAATGATTCCAATAGGAAATGACCTTGGTCCAGCTGTGATATCAATATTGTTAGATGAATGCTCACTGGCACCTAAGGTAATAAAGAAACATTCAACAAAAAAACATTCAACAAATTTATTTTAAAAAGTCACTGATTTATCATATTTTTATAGCCTACGTTGTACAAATTGTTGTGCTACTTTGGTTTAACCTCTGAGAGAATACAAAATTCCCCAGAAATTCAATTATCTAACAGTGAGGTACAAAGGAATATGGCAATTGTGTTAGGGAGCTTGGCTGAAAAATTGGCAGGTAAAATATTGGGACTTCTTCTGCAAGTCTTAATAGCTAGTGGAGAAAATCAAAATGGCACCTCATGTGGTGTATTTTCACAGGACCTCAGAGTGCTTGGCTGATGAGAGAGGAAGTCCTACATTTTCTTTTATCCAAATTGGTAATTGGTTAAATTGTATTGTAACTTTTTACGAAAAACTATTCCTACTAAGATTTCTTACTTTCCAGAGGATAAAAGAGCATCCATCTGTTGTACTTTTTTCAATAATAACCCTGGAGAAATTCGCAAAAACAAGTAGGTTTTAGTGGGACATGAGTTCCCAACACAAATGCAATATGTGAAAAGTGTTTTCTTCGCAATTTTTTTTATCAAATTGCCAATTCGGCCTGCATTTCAAAATCTTTGCACACCCTAATGTTATACATTATCAAGGCACTCACTTGGTTGAATAAAATCCATAGAGAATTTGTTTTTCACAATAGATGAAAATAAAGAGAAGATAAGATCCACAAATATATCAGAACGACTTGCAGAATTTGAGAGTACTTGGTTGAACAGCCACAATGTTATTGAGCACCAAGCTGGTTTTTGTGCTCAATGGTGTCTTGACAACTCATGTGAGTTAACATGGAGTTATAATTGTGAGATGTTTGAAATATTTACAAAAACCCTTGTTGATAAATTACGCGTTTATAATCGCATTTCTTTTTCTTACAGTTCCACTGAAGGTAAGATACAAGCTGTACATGTGGTAAAAATCCAATTTAAACCACTGGTGCTACGAAATTTTACCATATACCTCAGTCCACCAACTACCATTAATGCCTACCAATTCATCAGGATCGACCATACAGTTACGAGAATATGAACCTGGATGGTATAAACGCTATGTTGAACGTTAACGACGTGAGCACGTATCTTAAAATATCTCCTCAAGGCCTGGAGGTACTTGTACAGGACTGCTGAGTTTGAGGAATTTAAATACGAGGTTATTTTCAAAGTTGTGTCCCTAGCATTTATTTTAATGCCTTGATTTTATCGAACTTCTAGGCAAGAAGTGACGCATTTTCGTTTGAAAGTGTCAGGTCAACATTTTCTGTCTCATCAGGTAAGAACGCCACGTTTCTATCGGTTGGAAAACCTTCGTGGTGTCAGAAAATAATTAGCAAGCTTTTTCAACTATAGGTACATGGTACTATGAAGTCATTTTATTGACTTCTGGTGTCATGCAAATCGGTTGGGCAACGAAAGAAAGTAGATTTCTCAGCCATGTAAGAATATAAACAATTTTTAGTTTTCTTCCAGGTTCCAACAAAGATCTTGCCTCACTTTACAGTACTTATTCTTTGAAATCATTTAGGAAGGCTATGGCATTGGCGATGATATAAACTCTATAGCATTCGATGGTTGTCGGCAGTTGATTTGGTTTGACGCCGAGAGCTTTCCTATCTCATGTACAAAATGGAAACCTGGTACACAGAATAAACACATTCATGCATGGACACTTGTATAAATTCAGACCTATCTGTTTTGAGGTGTTGTGATTTCATGCTTTGAAAATTAGTACCTACGTCCATATTCCTCTTCTTTATCTTCCAAAGACGACGTTTTAGGATTATTACTGAACATTGACGAAAATAAAGTGGTATTCTATTTGAACGGAGCCGCTATTGAACGCTATTTTCCCGCTAAAGATAGGTGAATTGATAAGCTTGCCTGCACGCTAGACCTTGATTGTGAAAAATTGAAATTCTCCAGCTAAATAATGCCTCGTGTATTTCTTCTTTCATTTGTTTTCACAGAGGGGCCTTTTTCGCCGCGGCAAGTTTTATGTCTTTCCAGCACTGTAAATTTAACTTTGGAGCAGATCCATTCAGGTATATGCCGGTATTTCTATAAACAACCATACTCCATAGACAATTTTATAAAATAAATAGAAAATAGATACTAAATTTTCTATATTTTTGTGTTATGAACGCGTTACAGATACCCTCCAAACGTGCCGTTCTGCAAATTCAATGATCATTCCAAACTATCAGATGAAGAAAAGAAAATTCTTCCTCGAAGGTATCAAAAACTTTCGCATAAAAAAGGTGTTCAGACGGTTCAGTACAGCTACAAAAAACTAAACAAGTTATATGCATGCGTAAAAGTAGTCTTCCCTTGTTTATGTTTTATATAGACATGTACAAATGGCGGAGTTAAAGGACGAAAAATTTCACGCAGATTCTTGCACGATTTGTTACGAGCATACGGCAGACGCTGTTCTGTTGCCGTGTGAGCACAGGTAACGAACGATGTCAGTTAAACCGCAGAATATAACCTCGTTATACGAACCGAGGTTTTTAAGAAATTTAACCCTGTAGTCCTACAATAGTACTTGATATTTGATATGAAGACCAAACTTCTATGAGTATAATCAACTATAGGAACGACTGGTCGCTCGGAAGCTAAAAGCTATACTCATTGCTCTGGGTATAAGGTTGGTTTTACAGTTTAAAGAATAAATTGAAGCGCTAAACAAGATCTTTGTGTTTTACCAGAACAATATGTTACAAGTGTGCAACGAAACTGGAACAATGCCCTATATGCAGATGTGGCATAGAAGATATCGCCAAACAGATTGTATCAATGGTCTAAAAAGATCCCACTAAACATTTGGAATATGAAATATTTCAGCATACATATCATTCTGGTTTCTCTGTTCTGCACAGAGCTGTTTCCTCGGAATGGAGAAATGTCAGACTCAGTATCGTTGTGTTGCGTGAAAACTATTTGAAAGTCAATACTTTAGTGAATAATGCAGAAGTAATTTCACAAAATCTTGGTGTTTAAAAAACGGCCAAAAGTTGAAAGTCAAATATATGGGTAGAAAATAATATATGTTGGGAGAAATAATGTAAAATTAAGTCAATATTTACGCTAGACCAAATGTTCAAATTGATATTTTCTTGCATTCTACGTAATGCATTTGGGTACTTTTAATACAAAACGTGAATTGAGATTAAATTATAATTTTAAAAAAGGTTGTATAGTTCTACGTTATAACAGCTTGTGACTCGTAGTGTTTAGAAACTTTTCCATGTAAAAGAAAGCTACGTAATTTCATTGGGAGAGCATGCCTGTATTTATTTATCAAAAACTACAAAAATGCACATTAATGTCCTATTGTCACCTTCCCTAATTTACAAATACTATGCCAGATCAGTTGTTTATTTCTCATTTTTAATTTCATATTTTTCCCTGCATATTATCCCTATTGTATCTATTTCTAGACACATATATCCCTATCGTATCAATTTCTATACACATTTAGGAACATACAAATTTTAAGAGAAATGATGAGATACTGTCAACTACATTTGCCTTCCTGGAACTCATCGCATGGTATCATCTTACCTCATCAATATTCAATTTACGAGAGTCCCATTCCCAGGCCATTATTAGGAGCAAACGGCTCCTCCCTGCATGTGCTCTTCAATTTCTTGCACAGTCCGAGGGACTTGAGTCATCAGTTCCATTCCATCAGCAGTCACAATTATGTCATCCTCAATACGAACCTGGTATAAACAGAAAAAATTGAATTTCTAGGATGACAAGCCCCACTGCCCTTCCTGGCCTGCAAGGACTGCTCAAGTGGTCACAGGCTAGACCTGTACCTGTGTAAGTTTATATCTTACCCCTCCAGAGCCTCGGTACTCTTGCAGGACCTCCTCGTTGATGAAGTGAGCTTGGGCTGAACTTCTTAATGCCTCATCTAAAAGCTGGGAAATGAATGGAAATCATTTGAATCGATCGAACTACATCCTTATTCACAGACAAAAAATGCACAAGTGAAAACAAAACCCCTTTTGCTAAAGACCACAGCAGTTCTTACACAATGATATGATTGAATGATTTGAATCAAATAAAAACAAGAAAACCAGCCAGAACTTACATAATCAATGAAATAGATTCCAGGTTCAACTGTCAGCACCATGTTCTCTTCAAGATTTCTTGCTGTTCTCAATGATCGAATACCGGGCTCATCAATCCTCTCCACACCCTAAAACAGTAACAAATAGTGGGTAATAAGGACAGACAGGGAAAACAAGGGTGCAATATTGCTGCTTGTACTTACCTCAGGGTACCCCCCAACATCATGCACATCTAGACCCATGAAATGACCAAGACCATGGGGCATAAATACAGCACCCATGTGAACTTTTACCATGTCATCAACATTGCCTTTCAATATGCCAATTTCTTTTAGAGCTTCGAGCTGCACTCTTTCTGCAAGACGATGCATATCAGGCCAAGAAATACCTAATAAAAAATTACCCTTGAGGTTTAATTGTCTACTGTAATTATATATATTTAACATAATTCATCCAATAGAAAGCCAAAGAGACTTATTTCTGCCAACAATATAGTAATATAAGTATGGCTGTATATTTGTTTGTGTTATTCAAACCTGGTTTAACTTGTGCCATAACAGCCCTGCTTGCCCGAAGAACAGCCTCATAAATATTCTTTTGCTTCTCCGTGAACTTCCCGTTGACCGGGAACGAACATGTGATATCAGAACCATAACAGTAGTACTCTCCGCCCATATCAAATAGACTAGAAAACATTGTTCAAAATTAGCAACTTGAATGCTTTAGCTGCAATCTCCAATTTGACAACTGCTTTGATATAAAGGTTAAGGTACATAATGACATACCACATATCTCCACTTCTTACAGTGCGATCATTAGGAGCTCCAGCGTGACCATAATGAAGAACAGCACTATTTGGACCACTAAATAAAATCATGTATTCAACAAACTAATGTGGTAATATTTTTCAAACTTATATAGTTTATCACATACCTTGCACCAATGCAAGTATACGATGAATGTCTACATCCTCCACGAGAATAGCAATGATTGAGAAACATGCTGAAAACAAAACAAAACTGTTTTAGCCATTTTGGAAATTCAACAAATTTTGCTCATGATTCTGGTCTTTTCTTACCTCTCAAGCTGAAATTCCACCATGTCAGGTTTTATTTTTCTCATAATCTAAAAAAAGGTTAAATGATTTGAAAACTATGAATAAATAATTATCTGCACAAAACTTATCTATTATAGAAAACTTAGATAATATACTTTAAAGTATACATTGCTAAAGCTAAACAATTGTATGGCAAACTTTCAATTTACCTTTTTATGTGCCTCACTGCTGACTCTGTTCACATAACGAAGAACCTCCAATTCTTGCTTTGTTTTAATTACACGACTGCAATAAAACAAAAATTTGCTTAAAACTGTATGTGACTTCATAAAATGCTAGGTTTTCAAAATAATTAAAACAGGGTTAATACTTTGCTTACCACTCAACAATTTGTGGGAAAAGTATTTTGTTGTCAACTGAGAAGCTAAAGAAAATGAATTGAAATGCTTTGATGATCTTTTAACTAGTGTATTCCTTTCCAACACAACAGTAGTTTATACCTGCCAATGCCATCAAAAGCAGCCTCACGACAATATCCCCACTGTCTGTGTTTTTACCATACTATAAAACAGGTAGAAAGCAAAAAAAATGATGAAAAACTGGAGATGGTTACCAGACAACAACCTTTTAACCAAAACAATAGAAAACTTTTTCGCCATACCAGAGTCAACAGCACTGATGGTTGTTTCTTCTCAAGAACAGCTGCAATCTAAAATTAAAATATTTGACAGATGAACACCAATCCAGCTCATTTTATAATATATACAAGAAATAATAAACAAACCTCATCTGTGTAGAAAACCTCATCGACTTCATACTTCTTTTTGAAATGCTCAGGTGGATAGATACTTCATAATCAAAAGAACAATAAAATATTCAAGATTAATTCTAAAACAGTTTTTAAAAATAATCACCACTGATTGCCAATACTCACGTTCCTTTCCATGTAGCATACTCTTTAGGAAATCGTGGCATAAATAGCATTGATTTACCACTATCCACATCAATTGCCCCAAAGAAATCGCCTTCTAATACACCAAATGTCCAGTGAAAGTAGGACTCCTAAAGTTAAGTATTTCAACTCCATAAAACGAGATTACAGATCTGAGATCTCCAAATCTATATATCTGTGCAAAATGAGAGTCGATATATACCTGGCGAAAGACAATTTCTGTATCAGTATCATCTCGACACTTTTCATCTCCGCCTTGTAGGAGAACAATTGCTCCTTTTTTGAGATTTTTTAAACCTTTCAGCCTCTCACAAAGGCGTTTACGATTCGTCGCGTGCAAGTTCACGAACACGCGAAGCCCATCAGGGCCGAGTTGAAAATAAGATCTGCAAGAAAACGTGGAAAAATTTGAGGATATTAAATTGGACCTGTACAGTAGGAAGAATTGTTGTAATTTCTGCTATAATAAATTACTTTCAATTTACCCTTCTTGTTCAGCCATCACGAGACAACACTTCGTGATGCACGTGAGATATCACATGTGAATTCTCGAGATTCTAGAAATCTCGACTGTTTCCGAACAATCGACGAATCGTTACGACATAAATTAGCATACTAAATTTACCACACTAATTTCTACACAAATATATTGAATAATTATCATTTGGAAGTAAACAAAATTTCAACTAGATGCTTGGTAATAAGTTTATGTCCAGTATACACCAATAGTAAAATCGCACTTGTTTTTAGCTGGCATATATACATCAATAGCCATAATTCATCATAGATACCCATCATAACATATCAATATACATCCTTACACGCAACTAGGCATTGCTAGACATCATTGCATATCACTGGACATCATTATACATCAATGGACATCATTATACATCACTGGACATCGCTGGACATCATTATACATCACTAGACATCATTATACATCACTGGACATCGTTATACATCACTGGACATCATTATACATCACTAGACATCATTATACATCACTAGACATCGCTGGACATCATTATACATCACTGGACATCACTAAGCATCAATAGACATCATTATACATCACTAGACATCATTATACATCACTGGACATCGTTATACATCACTGGACATCATTATACATCACTAGACATCATTATACATCACTAGACATCGCTGGTCATTATACATCACTGGACATCACTAAGCATCAATAGACATCATTATACATCACTAGACATCATTATACATCACTGGACATCATTATACATCACTGGACATCATTATACATCACTGGACATCATTATACATCACTGGACATCATTATACATCACTAGACATCACTATACATCACTAGACATCATTATACATCACTAGACATCATTATACATCACTAGACATCATTATACATCACTGGACATCACCAAGCATCAATAGACATCATTATACATCACTGGACATCATTATACATCACTAGACATCATTATACATCACTGGACATCATTATACATCACCTGACATCATTATACATCACTAGACATCATTATACATCACTAGACATCATTATACATCACTAGACATCACTAGACATCATTATACATCATTGGACATCACTAAGCATCACTGGACATCACTAGACATCATTATACATCACCTGACATCATTATACATCACCAAGCATCAATAGACATCATTCTACATCACTAGACATCGCTGGACATCATTATACATCACTGGACATCACTAAGCATCAATAGACATCATTATACATCACTAGACATTGCTGGACATCATTATACATCACTGGACATCATTATACATCACTGGACATCACTAGACATCATTATACATCACTATACATCACTATACATCACTAGACATCATTATACATCACTAGACATCATTATACATCACTAGACATCATTATACATCACTGGACATCACCAAGCATCAATAGACATCATTACATCACTGGACATCATTATACATCACTAGACATCATTATACATCACTAGACATCACCAAGCATCACTAGACATCATTATACATCACTGGACATCATTATACATCACCTGACATCATTATACATCACTAGACATCATTATACATCACTAGACATCACCAAGCATCAATAGACATCATTATACATCACTAGACATCGCTGGACATCATTATACATCACTGGACATCACTAAGCATCAATAGACATCATTATACATCACTAGACATCGCTGGACATCATTATACATCACTGGACATCATTATACATCACTGGACATCATTATACATCACTAGACATCACTATACATCACTAGACATCACTATACATCACTAGACATCATTATACATCACTAGACATCATTATACATCACTGGACATCACCAAGCATCAATAGACATCATTATACATCACTGGACATCATTATACATCACTAGACATCATTATACATCACTAGACATCATTATACATCACCTGACATCATTATACATCACTAGACATCATTATACATCACTGGACATCACCAAGCATCAATAGACATCATTATACATCACTAGACATCATTATACATCACTGGACATCATTATACATCACTGGACATCATTATACATCACTAGACATCATTATACATCACTAGACATCACTAGACATCATTATACATCATTGGACATCACTAAGCATCACTGGACATCACTAGACATCATTATACATCACCTGACATCATTATACATCACCAAGCATCAATAGACATCATTCTACATCACTAGACATCGCTGGACATCATTATACATCACTGGACATCACTAAGCATCAATAGACATCATTATACATCACTAGACATCGCTGGACATCATTATACATCACTGGACATCATTATACATCACTGGACATCACTAGACATCATTATACATCACTATACATCACTATACATCACTAGACATCATTATACATCACTAGACATCATTATACATCACTAGACATCATTATACATCACTGGACATCACCAAGCATCAATAGACATCATTATACATCACTGGACATCATTATACATCACTAGACATCATTATACATCACTGGACATCATTATACATCACCTGACATCATTATACATCACTAAGTATCAATAGACATCATTATACATCATTATACATCACTAGACATCGCTGGACATCATTATACATCACTGGACATCATTATACATCACTAGACATCATTATACATCACTGGACATCGCTGGACATCATTATACATCACTGGACATCATTATACATCACTGGACATCATTATAGATCACTAGACATCATTATACATCACTGGACATCATTATACATCACTGGACATCATTATACATCACTAGATATCATTATACATCACTAGACATCACCAAGCATCAATAGACATCACTGGACATCACCAAGCATCGATAGACATCATTCTACATCACTAGACATCATTATGCATCACTCTACATCACCAAGCATCATTATACATCACTGGACATCAGTAGACATCATTATGCATCACTGGACATCACTAAGCATCGATAGACATCATTATGCATCACTGGACATCACTAAGCATCAATAGACATCATTGTACATCACTAGACATGATTATCCATCATTGGACATCACTGGACATCACTATATACATCACTAAACGTCACTATACATCATTATCCATCACTGGACATAACTAGACATCACTAGACGTCACTAAGCATCATTATGCATCACTAAACATCACTGAACATCACTGGACATCATTATACATCACTAGACATCACTAGACATATCACTAGACATCATTATCCATCACTAAACATCACTAGACATATATCACTAGACATCGCTAGAGATCATTAACCATCACTGGACATTACCAGACATCACTTAAAGTGAGGCGTAGATCATTACGTTACCAGATCATTTTCGCTGTTATGATGTTGATTCTCAGTAAAGATTCTTCAAAATGTTTTTTGTTTCTTTTTGTTTTTTGAGCTCCAGTTGCATTTGTGGATGCATGGATATCTCGGAAATCACAATTGTTAAGATTAAACGGGCGATTAAATTATTTGAAGAGGCTGTTTGCGAGAGTCCGTCCGGCTCTTTGCTTGTGAGGGAATGGCCCAGCGCTAGGTCTGACAATCTGCCCAATACAGAATGGTATACATCTCCTCCTATCTTGTTGTGGGACGTGATTTTTAGTCATCCTGACCTTATTTCTCGATTTTCATGTCCATTTTGTTCGGCAACCTGTTTACGAAGATCTGGAAAGTGGGCAGATAAAACATGGGCCAGCTCATCATATGAACCTCGAGTTGTTTATGACACAAATTCTGCGATCCTTCTTGTTTCTCATATTTACCTTTGTTCGTCAAAT